AAGTGATGTAGTGCCAATAAGTCCCCCATTTTAAATTTATTGTCTGTTTTGTCCTTTTAATTGTGTCCTTTTGTTTGTTCATAAGTGTACTTAATTATTTTAGTTTTAATAATTTTAACATATCTGACATTCCAATTATCTGCCAAAAAACAGTAATCAAATTCAACTTTATCAAAGAAATTTGGTAATTACAAGTTAAAGGAGTTACACACCCACACAATTATACATTTAGTTTCATTCATTGTCATACAACTGTCACCATAATAAAAAATTTCAATAAATTAACACACATTTCGAAAATATATCTCGCGAATAAATATAAATAACTTTTAATGAATTAAATAATACAGAACATCACTTTCCTTTAACAAACAATCACATTATACCTTATTCCTACTTCATTGGTTAATACCTATCTCCTCAAGAAACTTTCCCGCTAATTCAAACAGTTACAATATCACCCCCTATCAGCAGCAATTACAGGATAGTTTGAACTATGTTCTCCAAATCATTAATAAATCTTGTACCGGCATTAAAACAATGTTTTGTTTATTTACTAATTTATAACAATTTAATAGACTATTTTTTTTTGGATGTAAGGGACTGTGATGCGCAATATATAGCCTCTCCTGTCAAAATGTCAACCTCACCTGCCCGTGTGATGATCTTGATTCTGATCATCCGGTGCATCCTGCTTTACAACAAACGAGGCTCTGGCGTCCGGGCGTCCGAGCGATTGTCGGTATAAGCAATCCCCCACTTACTGACCAACGGCTTCGGGCGGACGAGTTGGTAAGTGGCAGGGCACTCTTTTGTCCTGGAATTGAGAAATTGATTCCGAAGGCGGAAGAACTATAAAACTACAAATTAGTCAACGGCATAAGGATGCAGAAAGCAAAGGAGAACTACTGCATTAAAGGCCTTTTGGCACTCCTAGTTTTAACTATCATGGCTGTAAATAATTTAAGTCAAAACATTAATGATCATGGATCTCGGAATCCAAGATCCGGCAAGAGAGGACAATCTCAAGACTGCAGGGCCTCTCAGGTCGTTAATATGCGAAAGCCTTGCAAAATAGCCACATGGAACGTCAGAAGCATGTTTGAGTCAGGTAAAATATATAATGCCATAAAAGAAATGAAAAGAATGCAAATCAGAATCCTCGGAATAAGCGAAATGCGAAGGCCGGGATCAGGAGTATGTGACGTAGATGGATATCAAGTGTACCATGCCGGAAATACAGATGCCAATCACTATAATGGAGTTGCAATCGTAGTAGCAAAACACTTAGCTCAATCAGTTTTAACTTATATTCCCATATCTGACAGAGTAATGCTAGTAAAATTTAGTTCAAAGCCGTTCATTACCAACGTAATTCAGGTCTATGCCCCAACATTATCTAGTGATGAAGATAAATTAGAAGCATTCTACAAAGATCTTACTGATGCTCTAGATCTTGTCGAAGCAGCAGAAAATACCATAGTCCTCGGAGATTTTAACGCTAAAGTCGGCAATGATGCTGTTTGAACATTGTGGGGGAATATGGCTTGGGAAACAGAAACGAACGTGGAGATCGACTTGTCCAGTTCTGTCAAGAACACGATTTCATTATATCGAATACCCATTTTAAACTACCACCGAGAAGACTCTACACCTGGAAGTCAAATGCAGAATCAGAGGACAAAATTATTAGGAATCAAATCGACTTCATTCTAATAAAAAATCGATTTAGAAACTGCATCAAATCAGTTAAAACTTATCCAGGTGCTGACATTGGGTCCGATCACAATCCCATAGTAGCTGTAACCCAATTAAAATTAAAAAAGGTGATCAAAAAGAAGCCTCGCAAAAAGATTGATACAGCCTAACTACAAGACGAGAACGTTAAGGAATCAGTTCAAAGACAACTGAACGAAAATTTAATTTGGGAAAATATTGGTGAAAACGTCGATGAGGGCTTAAATAAAATCGTAACGACAGTAAAAGAAATCTGTGTGAGAAATTTACAAGGCAGGTCAAAGCCAAAAAAGCAGGCTTGGATGACAGATGATATACTGGATTTGATGGAACAACGGCGACTAGCAAAAACCAACGAAACACTTTACAATAGCATACAAAAAGAAATTCGACGTAAAATACGAGAAGCAAAGAGTCAACATCTAGCCAAACAGTGTCATGACATTGAAGAACTCGAAAAAAGATACGACACGTTTAACATGTATAAAAAAGTAAAAGAAGCGGCTGGTATCTTCAATAAGAAACAAAATGCATTACTACAGGATGAAAATGGTAAAGTAATATTCGAAGTAGAGGACCAACTTAAAGAATGGGAAAATTACGTCACGAACCTATTCGTGAAGACGATAGGAGTAGTTCACCTCCCGATATTACTAACTACGACGGACCCCTAATAACACGCTGTAAGGTTATAAAGGCCATACAATCATCAAAAGATGGCAGAGCGACTGGTCCTGATGAAATTCCAACTGAAATATATAAGCTTATAAAGGATAGCAATGTTTTAGAGGCTATAACTTCGTTTTTCAATACCATTTATACCAGCGGACAACTACCTAATGGTTGGTCTAACTCACTGTTTATAGCTCTACCTAAGAAGACAACAGCAAAAACCTGTGCTGATTATAGAACCATCAGTTTGTTAAACCACTTTGAAGGTGAAATTACCTTCAGCAAAATTGAAAATTTTTCTGAAGGTAATACATGGTCGTATCTACAATAAATGTGAGGAATACCTGGATGACACTCATTTTGGTTTCCGTAACGGATTTGGAACGAGAGAGGCACTGTTTGGAATGAACGTACTTGCTCAAAGATGTCGTGATATATCTGTAGACATATACTGTTGTTTTATTGACTTTCAAAAGGCATTTGATCGTGTTAAGCACTCTATATTGATCGAAGCTCTAAAAGACATTGGCTTGGACGGCAGAGATGTTCGAATAATTGCAAATTTATATTGTAATCAAACAACATCAGTTTTAGTAGATGGTGTGGAATCACAAGCTCTCAATATTAAAAGAGGAGTACGACAGGGATGCCTCTTGTCACCCCTGCTTTTTAACGTTTACTCCGAAAGAATTTTCAGAAAAGCACTTTCTGAAAAACAAGAAGGAATACTTGTGAACGGCGAAGTCATCAATAATTTGCGATATGCGGACGATACAGTATTCCTAGCTTCTAGTCAAGAAGATCTGCAAACACTACTTGATAGTGTCGTTGAGAGTTGTAGGGAGGCAGGTCTGGATCTTAACATAAGGAAAACCAAAATACTCGTAATAAGTAAACAACAGAATATAAAACCGTCTATATATGTAAATAATACCAAACTTGCGCTAGTTGATAAAATCGTCTACCTTGGACAGCAATTAAATTGTAATGCAGAAAATCACGGCGAAATTAGATCCAGAATAGAGCAGGCTAGAGCTGCTTTTAGAAGGATGTCCAAGGTGTTATGTAACAGAGACCTAAAGTTGGCATTAAGGATCCGCCTACTTCGCTGCTACGTGTTCTCGGTCTTACTTTATGCTGTTGAGTCCTGGACTGTGAATAAAATCGATCTAAATCGCCTTGAGGCTTTTGAAATGTGGTGCTATAGAAGAATTTTAAAAGTTTCCTGGGTGGAGAAGATTCGTAACTCCACATTACTAGAACGTCTCAGCAAGACTACTGAGATCATAAAAAGCATCAAGCAGAGAAAGCTGGAATATTTCGGACATGTAATGAGAGGTCCCAAATATAGATTGCTACAAAATATCATGCAAGGAAAAATAGCAGGCAAACGCAGTCCAGGACGAAGAAGAACCTCATGGTTGAAGAACTTGCGAGATTGGTGTGGTGTAGATACAAGCATGCTATTTAGGGTGGCAGTGGATAAAATTAAAATAGCTATGATGGTAACCAACGTTCTGAAAGGACACGGTACATGAAGAAGAAGAATAGACTATTTTATACCAATTTATGGGTCTTACTTTGTCTGACAAAGCAATTTATTCATATTAAAAAACACAGACACGTAATATTGGCATAATTACTGTAATTTTATATTATTTTATCTTATGTTTATCTTTATAAGACAGCACCCTAATATGGGCTTTTATAATTTCAGCATTTAATTAACTTTGTACCGACTAACCTGAAGATGCTTTGCAAATTGTAGAAAGCGAAACCGCTCGTCTTGGTGGTTAAATTAAACTGTTTGTAAGTCTTATTTATTTCTTTTTACCATTTGAAATGGTCTCACACAGGCAACACATTCATTATTTCTTTCAGTTTATCAAATGCCTTATTTACCTTGAAACCTCATGTAAGCTCTTGGATGGTTTAGCTAAATTACCTGATGCTAAATGGATAGTAGGGTACCCATTGTTTCAGGAAACATATTTGTTAAACTTTGATGGTACACAAGGCAAATATCGAACACAGTATTTAATCAAATCTTGCCCAAGTACTTTCGATCACAAGATCATCCTCAGGGGCATTTCGTCAATTGTGACCTATCCAGCAATAACAGAATGTCATAAATTTAAATTGGGACATAACAAATACACTAAACAAAGACAAACAAACACTTTAAAATTTAAAATTGGAGAAGCTACATTTTATATAGAAGCCGGAGACAGAATCTATTGGATTGTGATATTTGTTAAAGTCAATCAATAATTCTACGCTGGATTGTCGACGCGGTCTAATTGACTTTACTGGTGAGCATTTCTTATTGCTTAGATAGACGGTTTTTTGCACATTTGTCGTTCCCTTATTTTAAGCGCTGTTTCATACAAGCGTTTTTTAATTACCACTTTTTATCCTACAAGATATATAACAACACTTTACCTTAAAAATTTCAGTAATAATTTAATCCTTTTGACACCCTAATTCATATTCTTTTATATGTACTAAATACATCAAATACACATCAAATCAGTAACTAAATAATGAAGAGATTTATTATCGTAAATTCAAATAAACCTGTAAATACTTACTATATTACAATAAAAACATAACAGCACTTTCATACACAGTTAAAAGGAACACAGCAGTAATATAATATAGTATAAATCAATCTGTTTAAATGTACTTATTTTTTATATATACCATAAATCGAAGAATTAGATAATTCATAATTTTTCGTTATCATTATTGTAGATAAACCTTATCTTTTTTGTATTCTGAAGAGTGATAGACCACTATTTTCTATGATTTTACAGAGATTGGAGTAAATATAGGGAATAGGGGATATAGGGTAACATTACAATCATGATTTAACAATTTAAACAACACTTACGGAATACATGTTTAATTTTCTAAATAATTTTTAACACCTAATTCACAGGGCCAAGAAGATTTGATTCAGTAGCAAAAATTGTGCTATTACAAAATATTTAAAAAACTGATTTTTATGATATATTTATTGACTTTTATTCAAATCGTTAAGTTAAATTTTCAACAAGATCATATTAATTGAAGTATTTATTGTTAGATTCGTATAACTACTTGTTACCACATTATATTTAATCCTCCTTTTTTAATGTTGGAAAATAGATTTCGTAACATTTTACATTCAGTCTGAATTAAATTCATCCGTAACCGAATCATCTTTAAAATTTTCCATTACTATCGCTATCCATTGTTCTTTCATCAAATAATTTTCCTGAAAAATCAAGTCTAACTAGAAATAAAAAAATTTTTGTTAACTCACCAAATAAAATTAGTTTTTTATATAAAACTGCTGCTAACATATTATTACAAAAAATATTATTTAAAAAAATGTCCTATTCTAATAAATGTTTCTCTGAAATAAATTTTGATAAAGTTTCTTAACAAAAACAATTAAATTTGTAAACAAAAATTTAATAGCTACAAATCAGCCTCAACGTCATAAATATTATAATCCTTTTTTGTTTAGTAACAAAAAAGAAGCAGATTTATTCACCATTGATAGATCCCTGAAAAAATGTAACAAATGCATGGAAAATTCAAAATGTGATATTTTACTGATTGCATATATAAACTACATAGAAATAATATAATTATAAATTTTGCCTAGATTTTGAATTTCTGACCTTTTGTTTAAATTATTATTACTTTGCTAATACAAACCATTTCCAAAAAAGTTCTTTTAAATTTATTACTTTCACTACATAAAATTTTAATATTATCGAAATCCATAATATGGTCTTTGTCTATTACATGCTCTGCCAAAGCACAAGATGGTTTCTTAATTCTGCAATCACTTTTGTGAGAAATAATGCGTTTTGAGAGATTTCTTCCAGTCTCACCAACATATTCAGCTTCACACTGAGTACAACCAATGCTGTATACTACATTTGTTTGATCTAATTTGTCTATAGCATATTTAGTTTTGGAATATAAAGATGAAATGGTTTTGATGTTCTTTGTTGCTATTTTTATATTGTCAATAACCTTTAGTGTTTGTATTAATTTAGGAGTTAATGATGGTATAAAAGGTAGTGAATGATAATATATGTTCTGATTGTTGGATACAGTGTTTTGAGATTTAGCAAAAAATGGTGTTAAGTTATTTATATTTAATAAATTAGAAAAAAGCATCGTATGTAGCATATCTGGAGGATAAGAGTTTTCAGTTAAATTATTTTTTAACAAATGAAGATCTTCTTGTAGATAGTCTGGATGAGAAAGTTTTAAAACACGTTCCTTTAATCCTGTTATAAGGTTCATTTTCATCTTATTTGATAGATACTTAGATACTATTTTAATCGGAATAAGCCACAATTGAACTTTAAAATAAGTTTATTGAAGTTTCAATTTCCACTTCGGAAATCGCTCTCAAAAAATACAAACATTAATAAATTAAAACAAATTTTGTTTTTGTTACTTGGTGAAAAATTCTGAAAAATACAAAATTTGTATCTGACTCATTTATATTGACAATTCAGCCATATATTATACATTTTAAAGTAGACGACTGTAAAATGATATTACCAAATGAGTTGCTTATACCTGTTAACATAGTATCTACTTTAAAATGCCACAAGAAAATATCTTCAGATGAGCTACTTAGTTAAATAATTCAATATTTCTAAGTACCATTTCACAGAACTATGAAACTTGTGCAAAGTTATCTGTATCGATAAGATGAACACTCATTACGTAAATACGTGACACAGAAATATCACAAATTTTTAGCACCTGTAACATTTACTTTATTTAATGTAAAATAAGTATATCTAAATATTTTCTAAATTTTAAAATTAAACTGAAATAATTTTTATTATTACTAAGTAAATTAAGCATACTTAATTTAATAATTTATCAATATTTCAATTTTGTGAATTGAACTATAGTAGGTTTGTGAAACTTTAGGACAGTGCACTCGGTGAGAAAGTCGCCGAGTGCACTGTCCTAAAAGATCTTCTTCTTCTTAAAGTGCCCCCTCCTCAATGGAGGTTGGCTACTACAATTTTAAACTCTTCTCTATCTTCAGCTGTTCTTATTAGCTGTTCAAAATTTAGCCCTGTCCATTGTCGGATGTTTCTGAGCCACGATAGTCTTTTCCTTTCTAGGTCTCTCTTTCCCTCGATTTTTTCTTTCACTATAAGTTGGGCATATTGGTACTTATTATTTCTCAGTATGTGGCCTAGGTATGATGTTTTTCTAACTATTACTGTGTTAAAAAGTTCTCTTTCCTTGCCTATTCTATGCAGCACTTTTTCGTTTGAAGTATGCGATGTCCATGAAATTTTGAGTATTCTCCGGTAGATCCACATTTCAAAGGCCTCCAATTTATTTACGGTTGATGTTTTAAGTAACGTAGTCGAATTTCGAGTTTTATTCGAAAATCACAAAGCAGTTTTTTTATTTTTTCGAAAGATTTTCTGGCCTGTTCTATTCTCGATCTTATTTCTTGATCAGGATTTAGGCTGCTATCGATCCAATATCCCAGGTAGTTAAATCTATTGACCTGTTCTAAGATGTGCCCATTTATTGTGCAAGGTTGAGGTACGTTTTGGTTTTTTCGGATTGACATCACTTTGGTTTTTTTAATGTTTATTTTCATACCAAATTGCTCACAGGTCGAGTTGGTCTTGTCGATGAGTTGTTGTAGACCTGAGTCGGAATCCGCAATTAACACTGTATCATCGGCGTATCTGATACTGTTGATATTTACGCCATTCACATTGACTCCATCCTTGGAATCCTCCAATGCTTCTTTAAATAGAAACTCGGAATAAAGATTAAACAGCAGAGGCGACAGAACACATCCTTGTCTAACTCCCCTCCTAATTTCTACTTCTGCGGATGTGGAACCTTCGATCCTAACTCTGGCGTTTTGGTTCCAGTACAAGTTTTTTAAGAATTTGATGTCTTTTCCATCTAAATCGACTTCTTGCAAACGTTCTAATAGTAGGTCATGTCTTACTCTATCAAATGCTTTTTCGAAGTCTATAAAGCATATAAATATATCTTTCTGTTGGTCGTAGCATTTTTGGGCGAGAACTAGTAATTTGAACAGGGCTTCTCTCGTTCCCATGCCGGCTCTGAATCCAAACTGATCGTCTCCGATGATTGTTTCGCACTTTCTATAGATACGATTATGTACGATTTTTAGTAGGACTTTTCCTGCATGACTCATAAGGCTTATCAGACGGAACTCATTGCAGTGTTGTGGGTTTGGCTTTTTTGGTAGTGGGATGAATATTGACTCCAGCCAATCTTGGGGTATTTTACCTGTATCATAAATGCGATTGAATAAAAGGACAAATATTTCGATATTTTCTTCGCTGATTAATTTGAACGTTTGACTTTTTTGGTAGTGGGATGAATATTGACTCCAGCCAATCTTGGGGTATTTTACCTGTATCATAAATGCGATTGAATAAAAGGACAAATATTTCGATATTTTCTTCGCTGATTAATTTGAACGTTTCTGGGTATATTCCGTCTGGACCTGGGCTTTTATTTGTTTTGAGATTATTAATTGCATTTATGATTTCAGATTTCAGAATTGTTGGCCCTTCGTTGTTATTTTCTAATCTAGGTTCTTCTCGTATGTCGTGAAAAAAAAATTTTATATAATTTTCTCATTCTTTCAGTTTATCTTCCGTTGATTCTAGCAGTTTGTCATCCGTGTTCAGCATGGTGTGAAAAGTCGTTCTCTTGGTCATGTAAAGTCGTGTAGTCAATGAAAACTCTTTTACCTACCTTTAATCAAAATCAAAACTTTTAAACCTTTAATCACACCTTTAATCAAAATCAATCTTTACCTTTGATCAAAAGAAGATCAGATATTAAAATAGGTTCATATTACTGAAACGTTGAGAGAGAGAGGGAGGATAAAAGAAGGTTGACACATGCCTGGTTGCCTCAACAGATCTTAAGCTCCAGCTTAGCCCAGCTCCGCTTATAGCTAGGGCCACCTTAACTCTCTACGTTGCACTACGTTGCACCATAATTTTCGATTCCTATATAAGCACGTCTTAATTGACATGTAACTTGTCAATGATTGAGTGACGAAAAGAGTTTTAAATGACTCAATGGTGCAAGGCGTATGTTTCGTAAGCTGAGCTTAAGCTTAAGATATGTTGGTGCAACCAGGCAACAATGATTCTTTCGGTAGCAGTGAAAGGTGACGGACGTGAAAAGTGAGTGGAATCATATCAGGAGGCAAATTTAAAACCTGTGGTGAGAGCTTACTAACGTGTTCCTCTGTTTATAAACCTAAACCTTCTTTGTTTATATTTTTTTATATACTAATATATTATTTGAAAGTTTTGTTTGTACATTTAATAATCGCAGCAAATATTTAACGTACGTAAAAATGACTGACAACTCAGCAGGACTTGTTCCTCCCGACCTTGAAAGTTTTAATATTGATGTCGATAAGAGTGTAACTGATAAGAAAGAAAAAAGGGATCAAAAAGTTCCGAATAATAACAAAACTGATACTGGTTTAAATAATTTAAATTACAGCAATGCAGCAATAGGTCCATTTATTGTAATTATCGAGGGTATTGAAAAATGTCATAATATATGTCGGTATAATCATTTAAAAATTGCCAAAGACATTTTTCAATTAAATCTCAAAGATGTATTCAGAAGTCAAAGAAAAAGGGAAAAATAAATTTGGTGTAATTTTTCAATCCGCATCAGCGGCAAATAATTTTACCAAAACCAATAACCTGAATGACAGGTATAAAATATATTTACCTAGAAACTGTGTCACGTGCAAAGCAATAGTAAGAGATATAAATCCCGTGTTTACGGAAGAAAACATCAAAAATATGGGCGAAAGCCCATAATTAATAACCTTAGTCATAATAGAAACCTTAGTCTTAGTAGAAACCCAGTCTTAATAACTTTTGAAGGGGTAATAATCCCTAGAAATATAAAATTATGTTACTTATCTATTCCTTTAATTCCTCACATACCACGAGTTACACAATGCTTTAACTGTTTGGCCTATGGACACACAAAAACACAGTGCAAGAGCAATAAAAATGCCAGAACTGTGGCAATCCACATGATCCAGAAGAAAACTCACAACAGACTTGTGGAGTATCTTGCTACTTCTGTAAATCAACGGAACACCAGGCCACAAGCAAAAGCTGCCCCGAATATGAAAGACAATGCAATATTAAAAAGGCCATGGTATACCAGAATACAACACATTATGAGGCCAGTCTATTGCATCCCAAATCATATTTACCAACTACATCCAATAAGGCACAAACATATAGATTCCTACAAACTAAATTCCCTAGTCTACAAAATAAAGGAAAGCAATCAGACAATCACATACAAATATAATCAAAGAAGAACTTTTATTAATAGCAATAACATTGTCAAATCGAAAAGAACATACTCAAATGTATCACCTACAAACGCTTCTCCTCCAATAAAGAAAGTCAGTTACGACAAAGAAGCACATAACAAGTCACTATCATACCCCAATGGGAGACAGGAATGGTCAAAACACAGACCGCAATTTCAAAACTTTCAAGCTAGTCCATATAGAAACTTAGACAAAGAAGACCCAGCTGGGTTAGATCCACAGTCAACAGAGTCAAAAATTCAGAACAAAGTTGAAGAATATTATAAGAAATTTTTAAATACACCAATAGAGTATAAATGCCAAATTAGGGACCTAATTAATACATACTTTGAGTTGTCCAAATCAAGAAGATAGGCCAGAAATGTAATCAAAAAGATCAAAATAAAAATTCAATAATTTGCATAATCAACTCAACTTAAAATTTAGATCTCATCCACAAATTTTTAACATATACAAATGGCTAACACAAATCTTAAAATTATTCAATGGAATATACGTAGTGTAAATTCTAATTTCAGTAATCTAATATCACTAATCAGGGATGAGGAACCAGATATTGTTCTACTCAATGAAACTTTCTTAAAACCAATACATAAATTTAATATTAAAATATATAATATTGTCAGAAACGATATGAGTGAAGGTACTAGTATAGCCACACTAATTAAAAAAACCTAAAGTATGATATTGTATAATGTAGAAATAATATAGAAACCAGCAAATTCAGAACAATAATAATTAAGATTCAAAAATATAATAAAGTAAATATATATTCTCACCCCACCAATAATATTACCAAAAACAAACTATCTACCCTAATTAACCACCTACAAGGTCCTGTTATTATTATGGGAGACTTCAACTCACATCATGTTGCATGGGGATGTGAAATATGTGACAAAAGTGGCAATCAATAATATACATGAATTTGTTGACGAAACCAATTTGTTTATACATAACGATGGTACTCCAACAAGACTTAGCAGACCAGGACAAAGGAGAAGCGCGGTAGACCTGACTATTACCTCCAGCAGTGAAGCTCACAAATGCGAGTGGGCAGTGATAAATGACCTGGGCTTCAGTGACCACTATCCCATAAAAATAATTATTCAAAACTCGGTAACCAATCATAGGGAAAAGATCATCAAAGGAATGAGAAACTATAAAGGAGCTAACTGGGAAGAATATCATATTTTAAATAAAACACTACATTTAGAACAACTGGGATATAATGAGCTAGTTTAAACAATGGAGAGGGAAGCTAATGTGACAAACCAATTTAAAGTCAGGCAAAGAGAAACTAACTAACTCTTGATCAATTAAAATTAATTGTTACTCATTTAAATATTAACAAGCAAAATTTACGAAATACAAACTCAATTAATCCATATCTTTTTATCCTATTCTTTTCTGGGTTCTAGTCTAACCGAGGTAACATTTCTGGTTGTGTTAGCTCTGCCGTTACCCCGGAGCGAGAAGAGTTATAACCCTATGTTGTACTATTTATCTAAACTAACATCTTTCATCACAAGGTTTATTTCAACATATATATATATATATATATATATATATATATATATATATATATATTTGCTATATATTTAAGCTTAAAGGAATCATCTAAATCTTAAGAGGAAAAAACAGAAACATTAATGGAGAGCATAAATCGCCTACATTACGTAACCATCATAACCTCATCACAAGATAACATAAAAACGTAAAAAGTTATGGAGACATGGAGAGTAATGTTACGTTAGTTTGCGTTAACTGACAACTGCCATCGTATCGTATGTTCATGGTTTAAGAAATCATTAATTATTTAATCTTCTTTTTTTTTATAGAGAAGTGCTGCAGTATTGCTAAGAGCAAGACAAACTGCAACACACAAAAAATGTGTTGGCGGATGCACGTCAAGAAGGTTGACACAAAATAACAGAAACAATAAATATTTAAATAGGAATAATTAATACTACCTTAATATTATTAATTTTTATTCGTTTGATTTTGTTACATTTTCACGACAGTAGCAGTATTTCTTTAGATAAGCATTGTCTGTAATACATCCTGTAACAGGTCCGTATCTATCTATTCTACTTATATCACCTAACAGCTTAAAACTATTATTTCTTTCCTCAAATGAAGCTTCAACGGTAGCTTCAAAACTAGCATCAGGACTTGTTTCCAGCATCACTAAAAAGAAGTGAACGGATTTGTGATCTTCATTCCAATATGGTTCAGACATACCAGCTGTCTTTATTTTAGATAAATTGTATTCCGCGCATAATGAACCCCCTTCAGTTGTAAGTAGAATGTTGTTGGTTTCATTTACAATAAAGTTTGATACTTCTATTACTTTGGGATCATCAGGTCTGATGTAAGTATGTCCTTGGCAAGTACACCAATGTTGACTAATACCCGCATCTTTACATGTTCTATTTTCCGGAATTTCAGCAAACAAACTGTAGCAGCTGGAACATCCTTGACTCCACGATGGTACGTAAGAATCATTGCCTATGTTCAGTAGGTCTTGAAAAGTGTTGTGGATATCATAGGGTGATGTCAACCGATTTGTGTTTGTTATGAAATTATTATACTGTTCTGGATAAGAACGTTTAAAGAGATCCGGAAATCTGAAATATATAAAAGGAAGTCTTTCTTCCACCCATCCTGTATGTGTAAACCTAATACCACCAAATCTGAAACCATGATCACTAAAAAAGATTAAAATGGTATTATTTAAGGCTTCGAGAAATTCAGTGTTAGACAAAAGTTGAAACATCTTTTTATCCATAGCCCCTGGCATATTAATATTATCATGACTATAACTGTTACTCCAAAACAGTCCAAAAGATGGAACGTCCTTAAACGTAACAGCGAAATCTTTAGCTGCATTTTGTATTCTTTCTCCGGAAGTTTCGGGACCGGCGCAATAGATCATATTTTTCCTTAATACAGTATACTGCAAAGTTTCTGCTGCTAAAAAGTAAGGACGATAATAATAATCTGTAGGTTCTTCTAAAAATCCTGGACGATCATAATGGAACGTGTTTATATTGCAATCATCCTCTGCATATCCTGTTATGTATTGAGATTCTTTAAATTTGTCCCAGATAAACCTGCAAGGGTTTTGTTTTATGCTACGGTTACAAAATGTCGATAACTGATCTACATTATATCCAGTCAGGATTGCCATTAAGTTGGGAAATGTGTTGTCGCCGATCTTGTTATACCCCTTAAGGTTAACCATGTTACTTTCAGCCCATTTAAAGCTTTCAGGCATGGAGCGTTCTATATTAGATTTTGACACGCTATCTATTCCGAGCATCATAATACTAAACTTTGGTTTTCCAGTAGGTTTCTTGTGTTCTTTAGAGATTGAAAAAGTGGTAGCATGAACATTACTGTATACTTCTATCTGCTCTATTGTACAGTTAACACTAACATAAGGATAATTTATTTCTACTGAGTCTTTGAAGGGAATGCAATCAGTCAGACTAAAACAGAAAAAATGCATTTAAGATACTTTTTGTGACAGAAATTCGATTAAAAATATTTAAAAGAGCGATAATTAAAAATTTAATTATTGAAAAGGGTGTCGGCCGATATGCGCTCGACAGTTTCGCGCCCTTACCTGAAATCGGCTGGTTTGCGCTCTAACACTTTCTTAATGGAGATGTATAGCTAATTATTTTCTTATATCGACCATTTTGCGCTCTCTTGTAATCGACGTTTAATTTTATTCTACCATAACGATCAGGTAATGGTTAGGCTAGTAAAATTAGTTTTAAAAAATCATAAAACTATAAAAAAATAAAAATAAAACATCTTCCCTTCACACTTTCATTCAGGCTTAGGGCTGTCGTAGTTTATACACAATATAAATATTGGCATGTTTAGAAGATGTTCTTTTTTATGTTTTCATTTTTTTTTTGTTTTTTTTTTAATTTGTTAATTTTTCTTTTTTTTTAATTTTTTTTTGTTTGTTTTTTCAATTTTTTTCAAACTTTTTATACAGTAAAATACAAAAAATTCTTGGGAATAAAAAATTGTCTATTTATTGCAACTTCTGGATATATGCCAATGTCCTTAAACACAACCTTAAGTCCCTTGTATCTATATATTTCTGTAAAGTTTTGAATATTCTTTCATCAAGATTGATATATGTTTACTTGCACTGCTTTCCTACTAGATTGAAAGTAAATCGATCATAAAGGTGATCACAATATTCTGCTTCTTTCACCAGGCACTTCACTTATTGGAATACATTGGGGTGTGGTCTTATTAATGTATTCAGACGACGATTCCAACTTTCTAAAACGTTATTACTGCGATGTCTTTGATCATGGCAATCCCACATTTCCTTGGTAATGTTAGTATTTTCCAACCATTGTTTGACAAAGTAGTCATAAAACTATGGGTAAAATAAAAATTCTATGGGTAGATACGCTAACGCAGCAACATTCATATGTACAAACGTATCTCTTCGTTTCTGGCTTCGGGAAAATAATTTTCTAACGCACCAATCACTGCCTGTTCAAAATCCAGTTTTATAATAGATGGTTTCCAATTTGGTAGTCTCTCTTTCATTTATGAAAATAATATATCGCATGTCTCTTTGGTTTTATTAGGAAGTAACGCAAATATCAATGGAATTGTATTTATCTCCTCTGACTTACTACCAATATCGATATAAACGGTACATATTTAACTAAATTTTTTACTGCAGCTTTTGAATGTTCCATCCATAAATGCAGTGTCCTTACTGTTAACCAAAATCTCCCTAGCTTTGTTCCTGGCAAACACCAAGATTCTGTATCCCGAGGGAGTGGTCTTGTTGATAAATAAAAATTTCGTTTTGTTGCTCATTGTAATAATTTCTTCTGGAAATACTATTTCGGATGCTGCCGCTGGATCTTTGAGCAGCCCATGCGCACGTTTTCTACAATCGTTTAAACCATTTTTCACTGAAGAGGATTTTAGGATGTCTGTCACGAAATCCAGTCCTTGAAGATATAATCTTTGAAATTCATCTTGTCATTATTATTGTCTTCACTAGTTTGTTTTCGAGCATTGAAGACACACTGCTTGACTTCTGTCGCTGCAACACTCGGCTTACACAGATGTTCGGCAATTATTGTGTTATTATCCATAATTATGTGGCCTCGGCATTTTTCAGTTTTCTCTTTCAAACAACTCCAAAAAACCGAACCATCTTTATTTGTTTTTTTTTCATACGAAAACTGTACCCTTTATACAATGCACATGGTTTTCCCTTCGAAGTTTCAATAATTTGCACATCCATTTAACACTAACTCACACTGATTCACAACAATTCTTGATCCTACTATCTCAAAGAACGCAATAGAAATGATTGACCAACAATATGGTCATTATTGCGTAGAATTTTCAGGTAATTTTTCTGTTATCATACCCTTTGTTAATGACTTAAGTAGTTACCAGTTCATATTATCAGGTAGAAAGGAAAGTTAGTTCCAGCGATCTCTCATTTTGGGAATTCTAGTTACTAATTATATCTAAACAATTAACTTCCAGGTAGAAGGATTATAAACAGAGGTATTAAAGATAAAGGAAACTCTGTTGTTCGACAGTATTAGAAAAATTTAATAATTTTGTTAGTTTTGATTTGACATTTTTTTTTTCAAATCTAAAGGAAAAATATGTTTCTGTTTATTTGACATGTTAGTTTGTTCATTGCAGGTTCACTAGATTATTATTGTAGAATGAAATTAAAATTGTATTGCAAGAGAGCGCAAATTGGCCGATTAAGGAAACTATAGTAGTTAGATATTTCTATTATGAAAATTGCAAAGCGCAAACCGGTCAATTTCAGGTAAGGGCGCAAAACGGTCGAGCGCAAACCGGTTGTTTTCATTGAAAAGTGTTGCGAATTATTTAAACCGTTAGATAACTCCTTAATGTTTTAGTTACTTAGCAATTAAAGGCGTTCGTTATATAACTGGGACATTTCAGGTACATATGCTATGTTATCATTGAATTAAATATCGACTAACAAAAGACCATTACATGCATATATGACGATTACAGATACCTATGCGAAGTTGAACATTATTGCATCTCTATTTGACAGAATTTTAACCTCTATCATGATCGAAATTGGCTTATTTTTATTTGATGGTATTATTAGGTACAGTTAGTTTTTAATATCAGTAATATTGTTCATTTTTTAAAAATCCTTTATAAAAGGTATACTAACATAAAAGAACTTTACAAGGAAATAAAAACGTCTGGTGTAAAATGGTATATTATTTCGTTAAAAATAATTTAAATTTATCCAAGAGGATTACAATTATTCCAAAATGTTTTCAGTCCATCATCAGTGAAACATTTTAAAAAGTAATTGAATCTAGCTAATGAAATAGCTTTAAAACCCTTTAAACTAGATGACAATCACGGTTATATTTATTAAAGTAATGACACGAGGTCAATGTTATAAGATTTCACCTAAAGAGAACAGACTTTTTCTCTGCTTTGCAGGGGATCACTTTGCGCACCAGGTGAAACAAGCCAACTATTTCGAGCAGGGAAAAAGTATGTTTAGTTGAAATCTCATAAGATCGACCTAGTGTCATCACGTTAATAAATGTAACCATGATTGTCCTCTAATTTAAAGGTTTTTAAACCTATTTCAGTAGCTATTATAGTTTTAAATACTTTTACAAATGTTTTTACTGATGATGGTCCGACTGGACCGAAAATATTTCGGAATAATTGTAATCCTCTTGGATACATTTAAATTATTTTTAATAAAATAATATACCACCAGAAGTACACCAGAAGTTTTTACTTCATTGAAAGTTGTTAAAACCCTAGTATAAAACCTACTGGGATTTTTCCCTTTTGCTTCTTTCAAAAACCCTTTCAGGCTACATTACATCACAAAACATTTTCGAAATGACTATTCCATCATCAGTGTTTATCTAGGTTTACCTACATGTTTGAAGCCACTAAATATCTGAATAAAAATCCTTTAAATATAGGTAAATTAATTTAAAATTAGATTTTTGCTGATTTGTTACACAGGGTTTTTACACAGATGTTTAGTGGCTTCAAACACGCAAACCTGGATAAACCCTGATGATGAAATAGTCCTTTCGAAAACATTTTGTGATGTAGCTCGAAAGGGTTATTTTATATTATTACACCAATTATAAAGGATTTTTTAAATCAATTATTTTCGACCGTATCGTGTTAAATATTGTTTTATAGTATAAGCAATCGGTCTGTAGGAAATATAACTCTATTTGTTTTCTTCTTAGCCTTCTCTTGTCTCTTCCAACTCCTTCCATCTATCTCTATCCTGAGCATCATACTTTCAATTTGTTCCAGCTATTCTTTCGATGTCGTCCACTCAAGTCATCTGTGGTCTTCCACTTGGTTGTCTACCGTTGTAAGATATCCAATGTTGTATTGTGGCTTTGCAACGTTGTTTTTTTTTTGTCTAGCAGTGTAACCTGCGAAGCTCCATTTGAGTTTGGCAATTTTTTTTGTGATATCCTTAACTTTTGTTTTTGATCTTACTCAATCGTTCCTTATTTTATCTGACAGTTGTATACCTAACGTTACTCTTTCCATTGCCCTTTCTGATGTGGCTAGTTTATTCGTATTTGCCTTTGTTAGGGTCCAGATTTGACATTCATATATCATGAGTTAAACACTTTGCTTCTTAAGTATTGAGGTGTTTTGCGGTTCTTCAGTATCCAACTGAGTTTTCCAAAACCTGACAATGCCAGTCTTGCTCTTCTGGTAATTTTCACACTTTGGATTTCTATGTCAAGTTTCAGAATTTGGCCTAGGCCACAGCCACCTTTACTTCCAAGCCATGAAGTAGAAATTTGGCAACAACGCGTGGTAGTCCGACCGTGGTTTGTTTTGTTTAACATTTCACAAGGGAAGGCTTGTAAAGTTTGTTGAATTTAGTGTTTTTTTAACTTTATTCGAATGATCTATTTATAAATTGTGTTTAAATCAATTAGAAAATATTAATTTAAGTGAAAATTCATACTTAATACAAAAATAATAATACTTTTGCTTCTTGTTACAAAATATGTAAACTACAAACAACAATAACAATCCTTTTGTTTTTGTTACAGATGCCCCGGCATTGTTGTGTACCTGGTTGCAAAACCAATTATGCCAGTACGTTAAAAACGAAACAGGCAGAAAGTACGTTTTCGTTTCCCAAAGATCCCCAAAGAAGGTATACTGGGTTATGCTCTATTCATAGAGAAGGCTATACAATTACCAAATCTTCAGTAGTAGACTGTAGTACTAAACATTTTCATGAAGATGATATTCAGCGGATTAAACAATGAGAAGATAAAGATAGAAATGTAGGCATTGTGACGATAATATATTTTATCATCTAGAGTACGCCTATGTGTTAAACAAAACACGTTTTGTTCCGTCTCGAATAATATAAAAGTCGAAACTGAAAGACAGCTAACCATTCTCG